AAAAAAAATGGAGAAAATATTTTAGAAATGATGATTTATAGAACCTAGAAAGCGTGCACGCATAGATTGTGTAATAATAAGCTTGGGATTTTAAATGCTTCTCCTACTCTTTCTGACGTCAAAACATAATATATTTATTTTTTTGATAAAATTATTTATTAGCAATACGATTTATTTACCATTATTTATCTCTCTTCTGTAATGAACCGACTTCAAGAAAATTCCCATTTTTTACCTTTGCCAAACTTCAATGTCACCCCCATTAAATTTTGTCCAGCAAATCACCATTATTGAAAATGGGTATTTCGGAAAATGCTTATACATATAGAACTCACTTATGTAGGTGAGCACGCTTCCCGTCTGTCGAAGTCGTCGGAGTCGGGTCCGGGTCTCATCCATGGCATTGGTTGGAACGAAGTGACGCTTGAGCTCGGACTTGAACTACGCCCAAGTCTGGACTCGTGCTTCTCCTCGGTCTCGGTCAGCACAAATGCGTTGCCACCAAAGTAGGGCCGTCTCTCGGAGAAAGGGTGATGCGTTCCTAATCCGAGAGTGGTCGTCCATGACTCTGTGGGCCTCAAAGTACTGTTCGAGTCCGAACAGGAACGCCTCGACTGTCGGGGCATGTCTTGACCCGTCGTATGTGGCAGGTTCGGGATTCCGAAGAATCGTCGGGGCATGTTGGGCAGCTGCGGGAGCTGGTCCGAACGTGCGGGGAAGAGTCCTGCACTCGAGCTTAAGGTCATCGATTACCTTGTATAAGTCGGAGATGCGTTGCTCGTAGTTGTCTCGTATGGTTGCCATGTCTTGGTCATGGCGCTCGTGAGCTGTTGCGAACTCTCGACGTATGGCGCGTAGCTCTCTCTCGAACTTTCGGTCAAGTTTGGAGATTGACGTCTTGACCCCCTCGCCTATGATTCCTATCTCTTGCTCAAGTCCGTCCATCCGTGCATCTTTGCTCAAGTCCGTCCATCCGAGCATCTGATCTAGCCATGAAGCCATCGTCGGGTACAAGGCATGGATCTCCTTGAGGCAGTGACTGATCCGAGTCATCGGGAGAGGTGAGGTCTGTGGCCTGTGGGTTCTCGGTAGCTTGCTCTTCAGCGGTTCGCTCTTCGGCAGCTCGAGCCCTGGCCCTCGTGAGAACGCGTACGTTGTCGGTCTCGGTGCTCGAGTCCGAAACGACAGTAGATGTCCCCTCCTTGTTCGGCATGTCGGGGAACGTCGGAAAGCGCTGGTCCGTGTGTTGAACCAGGCTCTGATACCAAAAATGTCACGCACCTAGTCGCTGGGTCGACCGATGGTACGTGACACTCCGTACAACCGCGTAAAGGTGCGAAATATGGCGGACTGTACGGGTCGGGAACCTCGGACTGTTTGGAAAAGTCCGGGATTCGTCGGGAAAGCTCGGACTTGTTGGGAGAAGTCCGAGATTCGCTGGGAGGACCGAGACTAGGATCCGGGCTAGTCTGGACCGTTGCGGGAAGTGTCGGGCCTTGGCTTGTAATGGGCCGAGTTCCTTGGATGGAACGAGCAAACTTGGCCGAGAATTCGGACAAGGATGCGAGTCGGACGCGTCGGGTCTGGAGAGAGTTCTCGGTTGGGCGGGAAACTCTCGAACAGACGTTCGACTTGAGGACCGAAGTTTCTCGGACGGATCGAGTTCTCGGTACGGACGAGTGCAGGAATTCTCGAACAAGTGTGAGAACTTGGCAGAATTCCTCGGACAAGCTCGTTCGGCGTATGAGAATCGAAAAGAAGACGAAATGAGAAACAAAGGGACAAGTGAATGAATCCAAAATGCGAGGACGGTTTTATTAGATGGCAAAACGAACCAAGGGGACGCCGACGGTCTTACAAGGGAGATGACCGACGGCGGAATGAGAGA